ATCTCTTTCGGTTGTAGTAAGATAAGAACATCTTTCCGTAAAAATATTTTTCCAAATAATGCTGCCGAAAATCTTTTCTTTAAAAGAAAGCAAAATCGTGTTTTATTCTCTTACCAAAAAGGATAAAATAAATTTTTGGTAACAAAGATTTTCGCATCTTCTAAATAAGGAAAACAAATATTCTGATTTCCAATAACATATTCACTTTCCAAAAGCAAGAGACACGATGCTCTCTATAAATAGGAGCTTTCACGTCTTGAGCTGTGGTGAAGTAAGAGTTTTCGTTTTTAGAGCTTTCGTTTTAAGAGCATTCTCTCATTGATCAAATCTTTTTCTCTCAAAACTTACTCTCTACCCCCATTTTTCTTTTCATCTTTACACTTAACGTTTTTATTAAATATTCAAAGTAAAAGAATTTTTACAATTACTTTTGAAAAACAATTCTGTGTTTCTAATCGATCTTCTAAATCTGATAAAACCTGTTTTTTCCTGTGCTTTAATATAGGCGTTTCTTTCTGTCTATTTAGATTGTGTAAATCTATAGTAGACAGGCTCTTCATTTTTTTAAACTTTTGAGTGTAATAGGCTTGGTATTGAGGAAGCTATTGAGATACGAGATTATCAAGCGACCTTCTCCATGTGTGGGGATAGTAATGTCTTGAACTGAGGTTTTTCTGTACTCTGCCAAAAAACAGAAAGGGTTGAGGTTAACTAGAAAACCTTTGGAAAATTAGTGGGACTAAAAGGTTGGGGAGTGGATGTAGGTGAGTTAGTGCCGAACCACTATAACTCTCGGTGTTGATCTCTTTCTTTCTGAAGTTTGGTTGATACTGTCTCTTTTACACTCTCGTTTTATTTTAGAAACGCAGAAACTGTTAATGATTCAGATGTTCTAAAACGGCAATAAGTTTTATCTTTTCTGATCATTAGAACTCTGGAATTCTAATAAGTGAATATACCTTGTTCTAATTATTATTCTATTCACAGTATAATTCACTGATTGGGTTTCTAATTAATTTTCTAAACTTTATGAGGAATCTCTAATCACGATAGATTTCCATCATAAAGTTGTTCTAATACTTGTTTAAGGCTCTGTGAAGAAGTTCTAAATTCAATGACTGTCGTTCACACAGCTTTATATGATTTTCTAAAACTTTATGAGGAAGTTCTAATTTCAATAGCTTTCCTTCATAAAGAAGCTCTGATATTGTATAAGTCAGTGTGAAGCTATTGTAATAACTATCTTTCACGTAGCTTTATATGATTTTGCAAACTTTATGAGGAAGTTCTGAGTTCGATAACTTTCCTTCATAAAGAAGCTTCTTCAATAAAGAAGCTCGTTGATGATTGTAAGTCGTGTTGAAGCTGTTCTAAATCAAGTAGTTTTGCACTTTGCAGCAGATTTTTTCTTAATATTGAAAATTAGAACATTGTGAGGAGATTCCTAAATTGTCGCCATATTCTACTTCTCAACAAAGTTCTGTATATTTAACGCTGCCAACCTTAAGAAAACGCTGCACTTAGAATTCTAATTTTTATTTAGAATTTCTAAAATTTATTTCAGTTTTTAGAAAACCCAATTCACCCTCCTCTTGGGTAGTGCCATATATATTCGAGACCCACAATATATATTATTCCATTCTCTTAGAAAATGGAACAAAATCCAGTTTGGCGGCCTCATGATTTTTATTAATATCTCTTTATTTTGCTCAGTGATAAAAAAGATCTGAAATAAATCCAAAATATATTTTAAAATATTCTCTCTCGATGTTGCTACTTCAGTAATATATTCTATATTTTAAATATATTTTAATATCTCTTTATTTTAAATATAACTATCATTAACGATTCTATATCAGGAGCTAATATAGGATTCAATCATAATAACAACAATATCTCAATTATATTTAAAAATAAATGAACAATTCTCAAAATTTGTACCATATGGATAAATATGGATAATATGCCAATAATATAACAAATAATAAAATAATAATTTTATACTATAAAAATTAATAATAACTTATAGCTTTCACAAGCTTTAGCAACGATGAAAAGGCATCCATTATTGATGAATCTTTGGTAAAATTGTAACTTTCTTTCAAATCCATTCAAAAAAAAAAAAAAAAAAAAAACAAATGAATATTTAATTGTCAAATATTCAATAGAGGAAAATTATTGCGTTTGCAGTATTTAACTTTCTTTTATTTATTTATTTTTTTAAAATGAACCTTAAATTAATTTATTTTAAATAAATTTAAGAGATAATTAAAAGTAAATTACAAGCATAACAAATCTAATATAACCATTCCATTCATAGGGAATACAATTTTGTACTAAGCCATAAAACCAATAAATAACTTGACTTAATCAAAATTGTAACTTAAAATTTTAGCTAACAAACTCTAAAAAAGAAAAAGATTATTCGTAACTGGTTGAACAAGAGATCAGATCTAAACAAATAATCTAAAAATAAAAATAATCCAGTAAAAGTGAAAACCGATCTAACAAAAGCAAATAAATTAAAAATAGACAGCACTAGAAAGATAAAATCTAACGGGAAAATCAGGGGACAGTAGACTTTTACATGCTCATGTGAGACGGGCGCATACAAAATCTTGCTATTTCAACACAATTGATGAGGTGCAGCTAACCATCAAAGTAAATAATTTAAAGAACATAACTGATACAAATTTTATTTTTATGCATATTAACTTTTGGAGCATCCTAATCAATAATATAATTCTTAAAACGTGTAAAGAATTTACATGTTAGATGTAAATAAATTTAAATTTGCATACCTAACTTTGGTTGTCACAAACCATAAGTTACCCCATCTTTTCGATTAGTAGCACAAATCAAAGTGGTGGAATGAAATGAGCTGATAACGTATTATAAAATAATAGAAAAGTAGGGAGAGAAATAAAGAGAGAATACGATTTTTTGGCTACCATAATTTATAAAGAGGGAATACGATTTATGCCATTGGTTACTGTAAACAATATTATGGTTTGTAATACAAATTTATAAATTTCGCTCAGAAGTTGGCTACCATAATTTTCAGGCAATAGAATTTGGTAATACGATTTTTTATTTTATTTTATGAGTAATAACTCTTATCGCTTTCAAACAAGGAGTACTAATTGGCTTTTTTTATTAATCAAATTTAAATTAACTAGGCTTTTTTTATTAATCAAATTTAAATTAACTATAAGTCAATTATTCAATTATGTTTAATACTCGATATAATTGAATACTTGAACATGATTAATCAAATCAATATAATACTCAATAATATATAAAGAATTCCCTTTTGATGCATAAATTTAAACTCACAAATTGTAAACTACTAGTTATCCTTTTTTTTTTTAGGTGATTTGATCAATTTATCTTTTTTCCTTTAAGCAATTTGATAAAGAAACGGTAGAAAGAAGATTGATGAAATATAACAAAACCATGCTGATAGCGTGTTATAAAATACAATAAAGATATTTAACTCATGCTAAGCCTGTCACAACAAGAATCAACAAGAATCATGGCTTGTTGAATTATAGCAATGCCTTTTCTTGAATTTGGGCAGGAAATGGTGCACTTTATCCAACACAAAAAAAAAAAAAAAAAAAAAAAAAAAAAAAAAAAAAAAAAAAACAATAATTTTTTATGTTGGATAACATGAATGCAGATGTTCACTTGTTGCACGTAAACAGAGTGTAGCCTGCATGATATACACGTGGCATGAGGAGAAGGGTGATTGTGAAGATATAACTTTTAATTATTTTGAAATTCTTTTTTAAGGGATAGATAATATTTACTACTTTAATACTTATGTTGCTGCAAACTCAAGTATGTCCCCAAACTCAAGTATGTCCCACTTAACCCAAGAGTCCACTTTTATCAAATTTTAGTATTCCCCTTTTACTTGTCTTTTTCTCATCGGACTTCCCTTTTCGAGGTAGGGAAACTAAACTATTCTATAACATCATGGCATGCTGCAATTGGTGTTGCTGAAAAATATATAGTGGTGTTTTAATTATGTGATATAATTATAAAATTTTAGTAGGTATATGCTTTTTAGGGGTTTATGAATTTTATTTTTTCATTTTTCTGATTTTGTTGCTGTCATGTTAATGTTATCCTTAGTTCATATCCTCTGTTCATATCCTCTTTCATTTTCTTGTGACGATGAATAAGATAGACTTTATACTCTTCCTTCTTTGTTAGAACACTACGTTAACATTGCTTGCTTCTTCCAGAAGCTGACAGATGAGTACATGAAAAAGATTGATACCATCTACAACCAAAAGGAAAGGTATCTCCTTCTTAACCCAACTGATAGAATGGGAAGCAATGTGCATTAGTTTCTAGACTAGAATATATCTTTCTATCATTATTATTTTTCCATTGCTTGTTTTTCTACATGAAAAATGCATAGATGTGATAAATATAGTTCTTTTTGATGGAAAATGTGATAAAAAGGGTTATCAATTTTTACCAGATTGAACATAATCAGAGACAGGAAGACAGTAATAATCTTCGAAATCATCAATCAATTGAACATTCACATAAGTCAACACAAGCACCAAAAAGTAGCCACTACAAGTCAAATAAACATACTTGAGCAATGAATTCTCCATCTGTTGACTGTAACCGTTATTTAATTAATTCTGATTTTATTATAGTTTGAATTATTCCTGGATAGTTGTCCTAGTTTCAAGGGCTGTTAGTAGTGTCATTAGTGATTTGTTATTATTCCATTAGTGATTTGTTATTATTCCTATTTTCTAGCTTCTGTTAGTTGTCATCTTTATTATATATATTGCTAAAGTAAATCAATAAAAATTAAGTTCTCCAGTTATCTCAAATATTGTTTTCTATCACTTCTTCTTTTCCCAAGATTTGCTTCATCTGGTATCAGAGCCTAAACGGTCTGTTATCATGAAACTACCCAATTATCAGTCCCTATCCTTGATGGAAAAAATTACAACCGGTGGTGTGTGCAGATGAAAGTTCTATTTGATTACCACGAGTTATGGGATGTTGTGGAAAATGGAGTGTCTGCATTAGATGCTAATGCAACTGAAGCGCAACGAGTAGCGCATCGTGACCAGAAGAAGAAGGACAAGAAGGCATTGTATCTCATCCACCAAGGGATGAATGATGAGACATTTGAGAAGATCGAAGGAGCAACAACTGCAAGTGAGGCTTGGACTATTTTGTCTACTTCTTATAAAGGTGATGACAAAATCAAGAGGGTGCGTCTTCAAACTCTAAGGCGCCAATATGAGTTGTTGCAAATGGAGGCCACTTGTTGCAAATGGAGGCCCCCGAAACTGTTGAACGACTACATTAGTAAAGTTCTCGCTCCTGACCAATCAAATGAAGACCAACGGTGAAACACATTCAGAGCAGTCAAAGGTTGAGAAGATTTTGAGGTCTTTAACTCCCAGATTTGAGCATGTAGTTGCTGCAATTGAAGAAGCCAATGACCTATCAACAATGACAGTAAGGTTATTGTCCGGTTCCCTACGAGCGCATGAACAACGGATGAATGACAATAAGATTGAAAAACCAATTGAACAGGCTTTACAAGCACAATTGGTAGCTCCTCTCATAAGCACGGCAGTTCACGAGGTAGAGGACGCGGACGTGGTGGTAGCTATTCCAACAAAGGTCGTGGTGGCCAGAACCATGGAAGTGCTGAGCAAAACAACACTGGTACAATCACAATTCCAGTTCATATTCCTCTTGGCAACAAAGAGGACGTGGCCGCAGAGGACGTAGAGGCATGAATAATAAATCAAATGTGGAATGTTATAATTGCCACAAGTTCGGCCATTATGCAAATGAGTGCAGATCAAAAGGTGACAATCAAGCTATCAATTGTGCTCAGGAAGATCGTAATCACGATCAAGATGAAGGGGATCATGCGTTATTAATGGTAGCCACATCAAATGAAACTCCAAACTACCAGACTTGGTATTTGGATACAGGCTGCACAAATAACATGTGTGGTTATAAAGAGCTGTTCACAGATTTGGATGAATCGTTTCACACAAGGGTGAAATTCGGTGATGGAAGGTTCGTTCCGGTGACTGGAAAAGGGAGAATTCTTATCACAATGAAAAATGGTGATCACAGGTACATCTCAAATGTTTTTTATGTACCTGATATGAAAACTAATTTGTTGAGTATTGGACAGTTGGCCGAAAAGGGTTATGTGATGCACATCTCTGGAAATCAATTCTCAATTTTTGATAAAGGAGGTAAATTAATTATTAAAACCTTTTTACCAAAAAAATTGTATGTTTCCAGTAGATATTAACATGGGTGATTTTAAGTGCTTAAAGGCAATTGTGAATGATGAATCATGGTTATGGCACTTACGCTTTGGGCACTTAAATTTTCAAAGCTTGGAAAAACTTTCCAAACATAATTTAGTGAATGGTTTACCACTTATTAAATTTTTCATAAATTTTCAAAGCTTGGAAAAACTTTCCAAACATAATTTAGTGAATGGTTTACCACTTATTCATCACCCTAATCAAGTGTGTGAGGCTTGTATTTTTGGAAAGAATCATAGGATGCCTTTTGTTAAAGAGCCTTGGCGTACGAAATTTTCGTTGGAGCTCATTCATACGGATGTTTGTGGCCCGATGAATATATCATCAGTTGGAGGTAACAAATATTTTTTAACATTTATTGATGATTTTTCAAAGAAAACATGGGTTTATTTGTTGCGGAGCAAGGATGAAGTATTCGACTACTTTAAACTATTTAAAGCATTTGTTGAAAGACAAAGTGGCAAATTAATCAAGATGATGCGTGGTGATGGAGGAGGTGAGTACAAGTCCAATGATTTTAAGAATCATTGTGAAGAACTCGGGCTGCAACATAATATTACTTTTCCTTACAATCCTCAACACAACGGAGTCGCAGAGAAAGAACAGGACAATCATGGATATGGCAAGGAGCATGCTTAAAGCTAAAGGAATGCCTAATAATTTTTGGGCTGAAGCTGTATCATGTGCAGTGTATTTGATGAATAGGTCACCTACTAGGAGTGTTCCTAACACAACACCTATTGAGGTATGAAGTGGATTCAAACCCAATGTGCAACACTTGAAGGTACAACACTTGAAGGTATTTGGTTCAATTGCTTATGCTCATGTACCTAAAGCAACAAGATCCAAGCTGGATGATAGAGCAGTAAAAACCATTTTCATTGGATATAAGCAAGGGGGGTACAAATTGTACAATCCAATGACAAAGAAGGTGATCGTAAGCCGTGATGTTACATTTGCTGAAGATGAGGAATGGCAATGGAATACAGCAAGTGACATGGATTCTAAAAAACTTAATATTTATATCTTGAATGATGATGCAGATCCAGAAGATAGAGTCACTCTTGAAACACCTGCAATTCAACCGGAAGTTGCTGCCCCCATTTCAACTTCTGTGGAACGACCAAGAAGGGAGCATCGACAACCTGCACATCTTCAAGATTACGAGGTTAATCTCGATAATGAGGTTGTGAGGTTGATGATGATGGACAACTAGTCCAATTTGCTTTTCTTGCAGATTCGGAATCCGTGAGATTTGCAGATGCCATTCAAAATCCTAAATGGCAAGAGGCTATGAATGAAGAAATGATGGCAATTGACAAAAACAACACATGGCAACTTACTGACCTTCCAAGAGGGCACAAAGCAATTGATGTGAAGTGGGTGTATAAGATCAAGGTGAAAGCTAACGGTGAAATTGACAAATACAAACCGAGGTTGGTAGCGAAGGGATTTGAACAAAGAGAAGGCTATGATTACGATGAAATTTTTTCTCTTGTAGCTCAAATGGAAACTGTGAGACTGATTATTGCTTTGGCTGCACAAAAGCGATGGAAAATTCACCAAATGGACGTCAAGTCTGCCTTTCTTAATGGTCCACTTGATGAAGAGGTTTACGTAAAACAGGCACCAGGTTTTATACAATCTGGGGAAGAGGACAAGGTGTACAAACTTAATAAGGCTTTATACGGCCTTAAGCAGGCACCGAGAGCTTGGAACAAAAGAATTGATTCATTCCTTCAAGATGCTGGATTTAAAAAATGTCCTTCAGATCATGGTCTATATGTGCAGAATAATGATTATGGAGATTTGCTAATTTTATGTCTCTATGTTGATGATGTGATTTTTACAGGAAATAATCTCAAGATGATTAAGGGCTTCAAGCAAATTATGATGAAGGAATTTGAGATGACCGATCTCGGTCTTATGTTCAAGCAAATTATGATGAAGGAATTTGAGATGACCGATCTCGGTCTTATGTCTTATTTTTTAGGCATTGAAGTCATTCAGAGAGACGATGGAATCTTGATTCATCAAAAGAAATATGCTGCTGAATTTTTGAAGAAGTTTAAGATGGAAGATTCAAATCCAGTTAAGACTCCGGTTGAAACTGGACTTAAGCTTACCAAGGATGATGATGAGCGGACAGTATATCCTACACACTTTAAGCAGATTGTTGGAAGTCTAAGATATCTCACATGTACTAGACCCGATATCTGTTATGCTGTGGGATTGGTTAGTCGATACATGGAGTCACCTCGACAGATTCACTTACAAGCAGTAAAAAGGATTATGCGCTACATTAAAGGTACTGCAGATTTTGGTCTATTTTACTCTACATCCAAGGAGATTGAGATCGTTGGATACTTGGACAGTGATTGGGGTGGAGATTCAGATGAGAGAAAGAGCACCAATGGTCATTGTTTTATGCTCGGAAAAATGGTTTGCTCATGGTCATTAAAGAAACAGTCAATTGTTGCGTTATCCATGTGTGAAGCTGAGTATGTAGCAGCAGCAGCAAGTCCTTGTCAATCAGTTTGGCTCAGTATTTGGCTCAGTAATATAATGAGTCAAATTGGTATTAACCTTGGAGGTCCAATTAAGATTTATGTTGACAATGTTTCTGTAATTAATTTGGCAAGGAATCCCGTCTTTCATGGGAGAAGTAAACATATTGATATTTGATATCACTTCCTGAGACCAAGTTGGAAAGAACATGATCAAATTGGAATATTGCAAGTCAGAAGATCAGATTGCGGATATACTTACTAAACCGTTGAAGATCGATGCGTTCATCAAGTTAAGGAACCTGCTTGACATGAAGATCATTCCAAATCAGAATTAAAGGGGATGTTGACTGTAACTGTTATTTAATTAATTCTGTCTGATTTTATTATAGTTTGAATTATTCCTAGATAGTTGTCCTAGTTTCAAGGGCTGTTAGTAGTGTGATTAGTGATTTGTTATTATTCATATTTTCTAGCTTCTGTTAGTTGTCATCCTTATTATATATATTGCTGAAGTAAATCAATAAAAATTAAGTTCTCCAATTATCTCAAATATTGTTTTCTGTCACTTCTTCTTTTCCCAAGATTTGCTTCACCATCCTAGAGTTTCTGAACCCCAATTTCCCAACGATGACTCTTCGAAGAAAAAATAGAAAAATAAAGCCAACAAGAATCTAGAGAGAGAAACAGCCAGCAAATTCTAGAGAGAGGAACAAAAACCAGAAAGAGAGAGAGAGAGAGAGAGAGAGAAAAGAGAGAGAGAGAGAGAGAGAGAGAGAGAGAGTGTGTGTGTGTGTGTGTGTGTGTTTCTCTGTCTGTCTGTGGTTTATCGGCATTAATGGTGAAGGGTAAAAAGGAGAAGAAATCGAGCGAATAGAGCGTTAAGCTATTTGTAGGTCAAGTGCCAAGGCACATGACGGAATTTCACAGCATCGTCCTTGCTTTCATAGAATTTAAACAAACTATTGCTGACGCCTAAAGACTCGAGATGCACATTCTGTCTAAGAATCAAAAAACCCAGTTTCAATTCCCTGAAAAACTACAAATACCTTAGCTTTCTTCTCCAGTGGATTCATGTCATTATAACAACTCTTCTTTCCAGTGGTGTCAGTGGAAGAAGATGAGAGCCTTTGTTTGGTGAAAAGGTTTTGGGGGTTAGGGATGTGAGAGGAGAGAGAGTGGTTAAAGCAACCTATAAAAAAATAGTTTATTTGGGACGTGTGGTTTTGTCAATTTACTATTGTTAAAATAGGGGAGAAAGAATAATTTTCAAATTCAAATTTTCAGTCACAAAAAAAATTTGTTAAGAGCAATGTGGACATTTTATATTTAGAGATTCTTATTGATTCTTGTTATAACAGGCTCAACATGAGCCATTTAGTATTGCTCTATAAAATAATAAAAAAAGGAAAAGAATACAGAGATAATCGAGAGAAAAATATGAGCGTCATTATTATTGATGAGAAACCATATTAGTACCCTGATTGGAAAAATAAACTCCTACACACAAATAAGGAAGATAGACTTGTAGTACATATAGGATATTCATTGCTATCATAACAATTATTATTTGAGAACATATTTTAAAATACCAGGAATATGTGTATTTATAAAGTAATCATCCCAATCAATAGACTTGACATCGAAAAAAAAGTTGTTTGTCTCCATACCATTATCTTTAGCTAAAGTTGTTTGTCCTCTTGTCTCCATACCATTATCTTTAGCTATTCTTAATAACTTATTTGTGTTCGAGTCATCAAAACTGCAAAATAAGAAAAAGGAAGATTCAAATTTAATAATATAAGTATGGATTTTGGAAAACAATATAATTTCTAGTGTATATTGAGCAACAAGTACATACATTCCATGGAAAAATAGGTATGGTTGGTACAGCTCAACTAAGCGCATCACACGTTTGATATTTCTGTTGAGATTATTATATGTGCCTTGAAAATAATGGCAAGATATTGTATTTGCCAATTTTAGCACCTGCAAGAATTTTTTTGAAAAGAAAAAATAATTAACATAAATACAATAGAAAGAGATTAACATTGTTTGCCTTTGATCAATTTTTAGACTACCTTTCGTATTTCGTAAATCATATTCACGTATTACAATTCATTTTGACATGTTTAACGGGCTTGCAATTTCAAAGCTTGAGTTTCAGTTGTTTATTAAAAAGCACAATAATAAGCAGGCTCGAATTCAGAATATTAAGCTTATGAAATAAACTCAAATAAGAATTTTTTAACGTAAATCTGGATCAGTTCACGAACAATTTAAATTATTTACGATTCTAAAGATAATTAGTCAAAATTATTATAAAATAAACCCTTTTTAAAAAAAAAATTAGCACGCTAACAAGAAAATTAACAAATGCATGATTATTTAACTAGATAGGAGAATTGTGAACTTACCTTTAACAAAGGCAAATAACGAATTGCTATATATCTATGAAAGTTAGCCATTGTGGTCAAAATTGTAGGCTTGGCAACCTTGACTGGCTTCCCATTTTGGAGCATCCATGGTTTGTTTGTGAAGTAAAAGTACAAGTAATCTCTAAAATTAGAGTATCTTATAGGATTTCCTAACGATGATCCTATATGATAAACTACTTGACATGGTTGATTATTTGCATGAACCATCATCGCTGCTATTATTGTGTTCACCACCATGTCTGCTGGTATCTGCATATACTAAATCCAATTAGTTCTTGAAAACATTTAACGCTTAATATTTTTTATTAATTAGATTCATTAATAATTTTTTATTAATTAGATTCATATTTTTTTTTTAATTCTTTTTCTTTGGTTTTCAAATATTACTTTGATCAATATTAATGCAAAGCAGAAATCTAGTTCAAACAAAAAATTTTGAAATGCTTTTTTGTGAAAAGGATTTTTAAAAGAAAATTTTTAAATCATTTGATATACTAATTAAATATACAAGTATAAATATTCAGTATAAATATTTTGTCTTCATTATATCATGTTAATAGCTATTTGCTGAATAATATCGAAATATAAGAAGATATATTTGTTTTCTTTTGCTCACCACGTCAACTATTGCTGTAAGATCAGCAACAAAGAACGACATTTTTCCACTGCCATAACCAACAGTCAAGGCATCGATGGTTCTGCAACCACGCAGATATGTATAATTAATCATTCTTTCGTATTTAAAAAAAGGAAAGAATATTATAAACGAATATTATGATTATATATAAATGAATACTAATACAAGTTCAAGAAAATTTATTAATAATATATTTATAATAATTACCTTGCACCTTCAATCCAACCAGGGAAAGGTTCTCTCCAAGTACTAGTAACCATCGTAGGACGTATAATCACAACTGGCAGATTTTCCTTCAAATGTCCTATAACCATTTCTCCCATTGCCTTGGTAAATACATATGTGTTGGGCCATCCATAGGCTTTTGCTCTAACATAATACCGATTTAAGGCTAAGTTAGTATATATAAATTGCACACACATTAGCAACGCGGATCTAGAAATATTGAAATTTTTATCGGGAGTTAATATATAATCTTTTAGAAAAAGAAAGATCAAAGACATAAATAAATTGAAATTTATTGATTAATTTAAACAAATTACATATATTTAATAGAAAAATTCAAAAAAGAAACATTTCATGTTCTAGATCCGCCATTGCTTATTAGTAGCTCCATGTCCTTAATTATTAATCCTCATTTTACAACATAGATCCGCCGTTGCTTACTCTTTTAGTCACCCTCAACTGTTTTATTAGTATTTCATCAAAGTTAGAGAAATTAACATTTAATTATCCTTCTCCCAAACTAGTATAAATGTTATGCTATCGAATACTATAAATATTTTCACTTGATCAAAACACTACGGCAAAAAAAAAAAAAAAAAAAAAAAAAAAAAAAAAAACGGCAAAAAAAAAAAAAAAAAAAAAAAAAAAAAAAAAAAAAAAAAAAAGCTTAGTAAAATTAATTGTAAATTACCTTTCAGTCCCCATATCTATCATAGCCTTTTTAATGTTTGCTTCTGTAGCTCCCTCACGTCGAAGTTGATTTAATTTTCTATCAATCAATTTCTTCTCTTCCTCAATATTTAATCCTAAGACACCATTGAGTGTCTCACCCAGTTGATATGATTTCTCCATTATAAGCCCTGAACTTTCCCCACAAACATAAGCTGCAAATACACAAAAATTAATTTCATCATTGTTAACTTGCACTAGTTAATTTCATCATTCATACAATTTATATAGTCAGTAAAAATTAAATTAAATTTTTATTTTTCATTCTGAAATTAATTTCTGAAAGAAACCCACCAGATTGTGTAATGTGATTTATTTTCAGGCTTCATTCAAATTCTTTTTTAGTTTTAATAAAAATCGAACTGACCTAATTAACCGATGATTTTTGGTTCTATTTTTTATACCAACCTGTAGATATATGAATAAACAATTTCAGTTTGAGGCAATTTTTGGCAAAGCACAAAACATTCTTAGCTCCCAGTGCATTGGTACCAAGTGCAACATCATATCTGTAACACAAAAGTTTATTATTCAAAAGTGAAAAATATTAAATAATAAGAAATAATAAGATAAAATAATAATTAAAGTGAATATCAACAAATTAATTACCTCTCATCAAATCTGGTGGTGGCTGCAAAATTAAGGATAAAATCCAAATCATTAATCATTTCTTCTCTCAGGGAAGAGTCTTTCGCCCCCAAGTCCTCATAACTGACATCGCCAGGGACAATAGCAATCTTTTTTGCGATAATAGAATTTAGATTCGCACCCAATTTTTCCTTTACGACCCTAAACAAGTCCTTCCCTATCACCTATAATGTGAAAGTGAAAGTTCATGTGGACTATAGAAAGAAATGATTGATAATGCAGAAATGATTGATAATGCAGCTAGGGGTATCTATCTATAACGTTGTAAATGAGATTAGCCGCTCGTGAGTTGCTAGAATGAAAATAACTCCGTACATTATGTTGATAATATGACTGTTAAAAAATGAATCTCATGTCTAAAGAACATGTTAGATAATATTATATAATTCAAATCCTTTGCTTAAAAAATAATAAATACCTTATGTTGCACAGAAATAGGAACGTGGAAGCGTGGAAATGTGGAAATGTAGAAATGTGAAAACAGACACAGGGAACGGTATTTTAAAAATATAGAGATGGAAACGCGGAGAAACACGTAAATATGAAAAATATAGAGTTATATTTATAATTACAAAAAGTAAATTATTATAAACCATTAAATATATTCAACAAGTCAAGTCTAATCAATATTTAATCATATCCAAAAAAATTACAAGTTTCATACTCATAAAAGTACATGTTTAAAAGTTCCAGTTTTTACTGAATTTGTATTAATTTAGTTAGAGAAATTGAGTTTTTAAGTTTACGGAAACGTATTTAAGAGAAGGAAACGTTACAGAAACAGTCCTCAAGAGTTTTTCAATTGTATTTTCATATAGGAACGTTTTTGAAACGTTGGAAACGTCAAGTCAGAAGTTTCCCCTGCAACATAGTATACCTCATTATAGAAATCGTTGATTTACAGAAGAAAGTATCTGCAAGCTCTAAAAGAGATAAAGCTTCTTGACATTTGGGTTTGTACTAATAGCTTCTCCAAGAACACTAACATTTAATTAGACCAAGAAAATAATTAAAATTGAAGCATTTCTGGTTCCACTTTCTTGCATTGAGGAGGAAGGAAGAGAATACTTTCATCACTCTATCTTGATCATATTTATTTCTTCCAGTCTGCTAGTCTTTCCGTATATACTTACCTTTTGCAAAGAAATCCGGTTTGCCCCAGTGACTTAAAACAGTCTATGCTCAGCTCAAGAAACTGAGTAATCTTTTCCAACTCCATTGCTGTGCAAAACTATGATTAGTTGTGCTCTGTTGGATAACTATACCCAAGAACGTACCGTTCATGCATATATATAGTAGTTTTATGTAACTACTTCTTCAGGTTACTAAAATCTTCTTCAGGTTACTAAAATAATTTGTTGAAAATCATTAATGATACTAACACCACGTATAGACCTAGGGGCATCATGGACCCAAATTTTCAAAAATTTAATTTTGTTTTTCTATATATTTTATAAGTATTTTTAAAAATATAGATATATTGGCGTGTTAATCTACTTTTAATTTCTTTTTTAATGGCCCTTTTCATTTTGAATTCAAATTCTATATTTGCAGTAGCGATTTCAATGGCCTTTTTGATTGCAAGACTCATTTAAAAAAGGGTTACAAATAAGAGATAAAGATAATTAGCTTATTGGAAATAAAGACGGTAATTTGTTTTATCATAAATAACTGCATATAGATAGATAAAAGTTTTACCTTTTAATATTTAATATAGATAATATAAAATAAATATCATTTTTAATTTGGCCTAACAATAAAAAAAAAAAAAACTGAATTTTAAAATTTTTATCAAATTTAATTAAATTTTTTAATTTTATCAATCAATACCGCGTACGTAATAATTAATCTCTATCAATTTTCCTTATGTTAGGTATCCATCTAAATTAAATTGATGTCTGTTAACTTTTAACGGAGCCCACAGACACTGAATCAGCACTGACTAAGCATTACAGCTCATATAAAGAAATTAAAATAAAATAGAGAACAAGCAAAAGCACAAAGCTGGAATTATCAATAGCTAAAAGCAAAAGCCGTTTTCACTGTCTTCTTCTCCACTGCCGGCACCGGGACTGGCGTTAGCACCTCAACCGCCTCCTTCACCTTCTTATCTACCACCATTATAGGATCCTAATTTACAAAATAAAATCACATAAACTTTTAAATACTTAGATTTACAAAACAAAATAACAGAAACAATTAAAGCTTTCTTCTTTTTCTTTTAGTCAAACCAGAACAAAATAAATATAATATCCTTAATTAATTTTTATCAGTCCGATTCATTCGATTCTCATCATCGGGATCAAATGCTTAAGCAATGCTTGCAAGTGAAGGAGAAAAAAGAATGGCAAGAGAAATTGGGATTTCCAAACCAAAAAAAAAAAAAAAAAAAAAAAAAAAAAAAAAAAAAAAAAAAAAAAAAAAAAAAAAAAAAGGAGATAAAAGAGAAACTCACCAATTTGTAGCTTTTGTTGTAGTTTCCAGTGAATTGCCCTTTATGGTTTGAGATCAAGAGACGAAGACAGGATGCTGAGAGCAAGGGAGAAGATGAGGAAACTGCATTAGCTTCCCTTTGATGAAAACAACCAATTGCCTGTGTCTCAAATGGTTGGTTGGCCGGAAAGTTCCTTTTGTTGACGGCGATGGCATCTATTCCCCTTTTTGTGTTTAGTCTGATGCTAATAGAAATAAAAATAATAAAGATCTACCCTAATTAAAATAATAAAAATTAGGCTTTTTTCCCTTTTTAAATCCACATGTAAATATGACACGATAGTGGCTCCACTTTTATAAACCCAAAACCATAAACCCTAAATTTAAAAAAATGTTAAAGTTCAAACTTTTTTTGTCATCAGGCCTCTTAATTTAAATCTATACTCTATATAAATGTGGGAATATATGAAAATAATTAGATTTCCGAAAGCGCATTTCATAAAATTTGAATATCCTAAAATAACTCTTTGTCGTGATCAATTAAAAATTATATTTTATTAGTTTATTGTATATAATTTATTAAAATTAATTGTTAAATAAATACATATAGATAATTAAGCATTTCAAATGAGACATTTTAGGATATTTTTAAATAAATATATATAATAATGAGACATTTGAAATGAGACCATTTGAAAATTTTTAACAAGATTAAAGAAATACATATAGATAATTAAGCATTTCAAATGAGACATTTTAGGATATTTTTAAATAAATATATATAATAATGAGACATTTGAAAATTTTTACATAGATTAAGAAAGATGGTTAAATAACAATTTTATTCATATAATTTTTCTATTGTGCTCATCTTAAATAACATATAAGCAATTATTATATTAGAATAACAAGTAGGAATTAATGAAGGTTACTAAAAATAAGATAAAATTTAGTAAGGTATAATAGACAATTCAAGGATTAACTATAATGCAAAAAAGAAAATTGACTATATTTAGGGACAAACCAAAAAAGAAAGATGGACTATCTTTTTTTAGTATGGAGGGAGTATATTTTTTATATAATATTCTTTTTTATGTTTGTATAATTTAATTGGATATACATTTTTTAAAATAAATTTTCAAATAGAATATACATAATTAATCGTCGCAAAATTTTAAACTTTTTACTTTTATTTTTAAATAAAATAAATATATGTGTGTATGGGACGACAAACAATCGGAAATTTTAATTTTTAAAATATATATAATATTGCAGAATCGTATATATACAATTATAATGAATTTTAGATAAATTGAATGTGCAGATAGCAGTTGATATCGTTTACCATCTCAACCAACACCTTCTTGGTTATTTTATTAATTAAACATTATACTCACATTAATCTCAAATGAAATTTTTTGTTTTAACATTGTAAAAATCTAAATAATGTAGGACAAAAAGTATAACCAATATTTAATATTAAAAAACAAAAACAAGTATAAATAATAAGCAAAAATGAGTGATGACATAAAAAATTAAACGAATATGAATAATAAATATAGTCAATGTACATCTCACGTTGTAAAAAGAATAATACTTATAAGTGGTTCAATTATTAAAAAAAATGAAAAGAACAAACTCAAAATTCTTAAAAAATAGAATGCTAAATAAAGATAATGATAAATCATCTTTTCGAACTTTTTATTTGTTTGAGCTTAAATAGATATAGATTTGTCTGTACATGATAATAATATTTGAATTTTTACGGCACTTTAATGTTTTCGACAGACCAATTATGTCCATGAATTTGCAATATTTAGTGATAACCATGCATCTTGAGGTTGATGTGGGTGTCATTTTTAGTAATAATAATTTATGGAAAAATTTTATTTAGACTAAATATATGGTCCCACTAATGGACCAAACTAACGAAATTATAGATTTTTATTAAAATAATGGTATTTCTGACCATACAATTGAAAAAAAAAAAGATAAAGTCGGAACATTTTTTAAAAAATTTTTAAGCTCAGTTTATTTTACGTAAAATAAATGGCAAAAAAATATTTTCTACAATTTTCAGTTGTTTGAGGCATTTAAGAAAATAGTCAACGGAAAATATTTTTCAGGTCAAAAGAAAACTAAGTCATTTTTAAGGAAAATGACTTCTCATTTGCAAGAGAGGAAAACATTTTTAGACAATGATAAATATATTATAACTTTATAAATTCATATTTTTTAATTTATAACCACCGGTGGCTACTACCACCAGTTACCGTTCACCATCCGTCACTGGCCGCCGTCAACCACCACCAACAGGCATCGATGACTTTCATAATTTATCATTTTTTGCAGTTTTTCTCGTATTTAACAATAAAATTTTTAAAATATGAAATTTTTAATATTTTTAACTAATTTTCAATATTGCAACCAAACAACGGAAAATAAATAATTTCAAAAATATTTATTTTCTAAAAACAAATGAAGCCTTAGTTTTATTAGTTTGGTCTATAAGTGAAGTCATAGATCTAGTTTAGGCAAGTTTTTCAATAATTTCTAGAGAGTCAAGATTACCTGAAAGTGCTTAGTTATAATAAAAATTGGACATGATAAGTCTCTCAAAATGTTAAGGGTGTGTTTACCTATAAAAAACAGTTTCCTATTTTCTATTTTCAGTTTTCTAAGAAAATATTTTTCTTAGAAAATAAAAACTAAAAAACAGAAAATGAAAAATGCGTTTACTTGGTAACAATAAAAAATTATATTTTAATTTAACTTCACAGACATTATTCATAACTTTTATAATTAAAAGAAATAAAATGTTATAAAATAAATTTAAAAATTTTTACAATAATTATAGCATTTTTATAATGTTATAAAATAAATTTAAAAATTTTTACAATAATTATAGCATTTTTATCATTTTGTAAAATTTTAAAAATCAAGGATATATTGTATTTATAATAATAAAATTATTTATTTATTAAAGCATAATTTAAGTTTCTATGTTATTTAAAAACTTGTTTTTTCAATGAAAATATATTTAAAAATTATTTATGGATATTATAATTTTAATTATGAAAATGTGATTTTTTAAAAATGGAAAACATTTAGAAAATATGTCTTTTGTTATAAATGAAAACTCTTGAAAGCAACTTAAAATTGTTTTTCAAATTTTAGTTAAACTCTGGAAAACTGTTTTTAAGTTTTCTAAATAGAAAACTAACTGATTTAAATACAAAACTTTATTTTTCAGTTTTTTTGAAAAAAATTTCTTGAAAACTACTCCAATTTCTACAAATGAACATATCCTTAGTATTCCGTAGTAATAAAACCCTAACCCTTTGTTTGGCTGGGAGTTTTTTTTTTTTTTTTTTTTTTTTTTTTTTTTTTTTTTTTTTTTTTTTTTTTAAGGAATGAAAATAACTATGGATACTGTTTAGGTAAAAGTATTTTCCTTATTTGCAAAAATGGAGGAAAATATTGAAAGAAGTAATATTTCACTTATTTTCCACCATGGCCCATATATTTTGAATCTCTCTAATTTTTAGAGAGAATGACGGAGGAAAGTGTAAATTTTACTCATTTTTATTAAATTACACAAATACCAGAAATTAATTAATCAACTTTGAACCTTTCTTAAATACGTCATTATTTAAGTGAGGATACAATTGTCAATTTTTAATAATAATCCTTTTTTTTTTCCTAAAAAAACTTTGCCCTTTCCAAAAAAAGAAAAATAAATTTATTTTCTTCTTCTCATTCTATCCAAACACAAAATAGAAAATAACTATAGAAAGAAAGTTAACAATTTCTCATCATTTTTGTCTACTATTTTTCTGCCTCTAATATTTTCTTTTTTCTCCATCCCAAAAAAGGGTACGTAATATTCAAGACCAATTTCATGTATTAGGCCGCATAGCATTAGTAGATTTAATACACAGTAATAATAATAATAATATATGAATGATAAAGAAATTCGCATAATATTTTATAAATATGAAACAAAATTTATGTAACATATAATATGACAATAAAATTACTTATGGTGTATTATAATTGTAAGTAGAAAATTAAAATTTAAAATTTATTATCACTTAAATTGTAATAAATTATACATAATCTATGATGGGGTATCATATAAATTTTTTGATTGAAGCTCCTTTAGTTTTATTTTCTAAACTGAAAACATTTTCTATTTATTCGTTTTCTTCAGACAATAAACTCGTTAAGACTTTTTATATATATATAACACCAATGTGGTGTTTTTTATCCATTACTACTCGACAAAACACTTGTCCACACCTAGTGTATAAACATTTATTATAGACTAACAAATCATACCTAGTATATAATAATTCCACCTTGTCTCCTATATATCCATTACTACTCGACGAAAAACTTGTCCACACCTAGTACATAACATTTATTATATACTAACAAATTATACCTAAGTATATAATAATTCCACCTTCTCTCCTCAACTAATATTTCTGCCTCTAATATTTCTGACCAGCTATTCTAGCTAGATTTTATTACCCACTCTTGTGTAGCAGAACCTCCATCTCCATGTGCCCGCCTTTCTATTGTTAGATTTATGACTAAAAGTTCCAAAATATCGGACCAATTTTCAATTATAATGCATTTATTTGTGTTGGTTGTGTGCATTTTTTCAATTTCATAGGATGTATAACCAATCGAGGTGGTGGCCTAATGGTAAAAGCATTGATCATTTATCTGTTTGATTTAAGTTTGATCCTCCACGATAGCATTCCATTACACATGATGTCTAAATATTGAGTCTAGTGACTAACATATCTAATAGTCCCTTTTTTTTGTTTTAAAAAAAAAAAAAATTTCATAGGATGTATAAACTAAAGCTCTTAAATTGCTGTATATAACATGTAAAGGTTATGCATATAATTGATATAAAATTGTTACATGCAATTGTTAAATTTTTTTTATTCCTAATTTTTCTAGCCTTTTCATTTTTCTTTTCCTTATATATGCATTTGTTAGAATTGAATTGGGTATATTTTCATTTATGTTATTAGGTTTCTCTTTCCACATATACACTATTCGATTATTTGTATAGAAGAAAAATAGACATTGATTCTTATCATACTTTTTACTGAAAGCAAACAGCAATTACGATTGCACATTACCTATTCAAATCTGGTCCAATCCAACACAATCTGTCAGCTTTGAAAATATAAGGAATTGAGTGGAGTCACTCATCTTTATGATTCACGAGTTGGATTGGAGTGAGCTCGCAAATCTAACCTAACATATAAATAATATCAAATATATACGT